AAAATAAAAATTAATCTCTAATTAATATAAAAAATTGTATAAAAAATTATAAAAAAATTATTTCTTGATCTTTTTTTTATCTTAAATGTAAGTTTAAAAAAATTATTTCTTGATCTTTTTTTTATCTTAAATGTAAGTTTAAAAAAATTTAAAATTTGATGCTGTCTAGGTATGCAGTGTTCACCAAATTAAAGCTATTTTTTAAGAATTGTTTGATATATGAATTTAAAATTAAAGATTAATAATCTCATCTAACTTACTATATAAAAATATTTAAATTAATAATAATTATTATTATCAATTATTAAATTAAACAAAATTACTAATTATTATATCAAACAAACCCTTTAAAACTCCACTGCACCGTAGAGACTATTGGACCACCAGGGAAGTGCTTTATTTGGAACCCATTTATGGTTAATAATCTAGATACAAAGTTCTCCATCAAATGTTGCGAGGCGAAATCATTCCCGTCCCCACACCCGTGGAATATTCCTCCTCACTACTCACTAGTCACTTCACTGGTTAAAGGGTTTGCTTCGATTATGGGTTTTTTTTTTTCGTTTTTTTTTTTCTAATTGTATATAATAGAAAATAATTTTTTGACGTTTACGCTAACTGATTAACAGTTTTTCTTTGCTAATACAAAAATTAATGTCTTTTCTTACTTACTGTTAATTTGACGAAAATTTTAAATTTTGCATAGTTTAATTATTTAATAGTCGGAAAATGTAACTTTTATATTTTTTTTACTAATTTTTAGTTATTCAATAGTTACATTAAATCTTATTTATTTAAAATTGAGTTATATCAGATTTTATAAAAAAAAAGTTTTTTTACATTTATTTATTTATAAAATTTAAATTCGAGATATTATTTAAAAATAATCGAATTCTTTTTATTAAAACTAATAGATCATTAATAATATAAAAAAATTGTTAATCAGTTCCTTAATATATAGACATAAAAATTGTTAATCAGTTCCTTAATATATAGACATAAAAATTGTTTGTTAATCATATTCCTTAATAATAATATAGGAGTGCATTTATTTTTATTTTTTATTATTAATACATATAGTAAAACTAAAAGTTAATATTAATTTTATTTATTGTTCAATAAAAAATATCTATATATCATAAATGTTGAAATTAATGTTAATTTTTTTAATATAAATTAATGTATAATTAATGATAAAAAGTGTAATAAATACACTCTTATGCTGTATCTTATGGGTGCAGAACAAAAAAATTCATAATATAATAATATAATTAAGGGTATGTTTGGTTAAATTTTAACATCCTTAACAAAGTTTTTATTAAAAAAAGTGATTAAAAAAGTTAAAAAGTATTGTATTAAGTTTTATAATAAAATTTTATTTGAATTTTATTAGGTTGTTAATTTTATTATCTTTGATAAAAAAAAATTGACATGAAAAAGTATAAGGAAAATTGTTAAGTAAAATTTATATAAATAATGTGGTGAGAAATTTTTTTCTTTAAAAAAATTAATTAAGAAGAAAATTTTGTACATTTAGAATTGTGTTAAAAAAATAAAAAATAAAAAAATAACTTTTATTTTTTATTTATTATAATTTTAAAATGTGTAAGTATTAAAATATTCTTATAAAATCGTGAAAAATGAAAATTTTAAGTAAAGTTTTTCAAATACACCCTAATGGATAAAAATATTTATCATCAATTAAGGATAAAATAGTAATTACAGCCTTCTAAATCTAAACCGAGTAAATGATTGTTGACGTAATATGATGTCATCAATTGAGCAAAAGGCTCAATGTGTAAATACTGAGAAGATCAGTAGCTGATTTCCCAGAAAAAGAGAGTAGATGGACTGCTTTGCTACAAAATGTAAGTTTGAGTGTACTTTAATTCATTGCTAATCTGTAATTGTATTTATAATTTTTTTTATTTTTTAAAATATTTTTAAAATATATAAAATATATTTTATAAAAATAATATTACAACAAAATAGGAAAAGAAAAGAAAAGAAAAGAAATTTTGAGGCATCATCTCATTATTTTTAAGATATTAAAATATTTTTAAAATATAATAAAAT